GTTCCTGTTGCTAAGAGAACTTTGGAAGGGCAATTAGAAAACAGGATAAAAACATTAGGTATGAATATGATGAAAAAAGTGAACTCAACATGAATTCCTTAAAAAATCCCAAGAGAATCAATTGAATGTTATGATAAAGAATCAAAGTTCATCCAACGTAGCTGGTTACAAAAATAATTTTGCCCTATTGACAAACAGCAAAAAAAAAAAAAAGGTTTAAAAATACCCCACTCGTAGTAGTAATGTGTGTGTGTGTGTGTGTGAACTGCAGACTGAACTAAGATTGAACTCATGCTAGGCAAGTGCTCTAGGCAAGAATAACCCAAGCTGTTGTTAAAAATTTATTTTGAGACAGGCTGACCTTGAACTCTTGATCCTCCTGCCTCATCAGTCTCCTGTCTTAGCCTGAGTAACTAGGATTACAACTGTGAGCCACTCTACCTGGCTAGAATAAAGTGAATTTGTGCCTATGGAAGGAAACTATAATTCTTTGATGAACGTTAAAAGTTCTAGTATGAGTTTTAAAACACATACTTTATTGTCAGATAAAATGGATGTGAGGTTAATTGTCCATAATTAATCCATATACATTAACCCACCAAAGATGAAGTTTGTTTGAGAAAATAAGCAAACAAATAGCTAATAAAGTATTAGGAAGTTTCACCAATCAAATCTTTCAGTATATTATGAACCTGTATTACTCTGGAGTATAGAGATAGGATAGAATAGTTTTGTTTTTGTTTTTTTTTTTTTTAAAAAAAACAATCCTAAATGTATGTAAAGCTTAAGAGGTGGTGAATGTGTCATTTTAAAGGGGAAAGTTTAGATTATTTTTAACAATGATGCTGAGACAATTGGCTAGGGTAGAGAAAAGGCAAGATGCTGTCATATGCTATTTTTTATGCTGCTGTAACAGAATGCCTAAGACTGGGTCATTTATAAAGAAAAGAAGTTTATTTTGGTTCATATTTCTGGCGGCTGATAATCCCAAAATCCAAGGGCAGCATCTGTAGAGGATCTCTTGAGATTTCAACTCATGGCAGAAAGAGGAAAGGCATCTGAGCCATGTGGAAGACAGACTTGCTTTTAAAACTTGCTCTTATGGGAATGAACTCAGTCTTATCAGAGTAAGAACAAACTCACCTGGGAAAAGATTAATCCTTTCATGAGATTCTCCTCCCATGTCCCAGACACCTCCCACTAGATCCCACCTCCCAATGTTGCCACATAGGAGCTAAACTTCAACATGAGTTTTGGTGGGAATGAATGATATTCAAACGTACATCCCTACTTCTCTTGTTATGTAAAAATAAGGTTCTAAGAAAGAAAACATTAAAAGTAAGAAGAGGAAAAGCCAATGACAGAATTAAACGATAACATAATAGGTAATATGATGATCTGGGAATGGAGGAAGATTGTTTGAGATTGTCAAAAAATCAGAAACCCTTATGAAGAAGAACCATAATTTGCCTATATAAAATAATTAAAACTCTGTGTGATCTGAAAACACCATGAACATAGTTGAAAGGTAAATAATCAAGTGAATTGGTGTAGACCAAAGAGTAATATAATTCATAAACAAAATATTATTTATTAGTCAACATTTATAAATGGAATACATCAAAAGAAAAATATGCATGTGTGCCGGTAACTCATACCAGTAAAAAATTCAAATTGCTAATAAAAAACATACTGCTAGTCATTTTCTTGATTGTAAACAACAGAAACTGACACTGGTTAGTTTCAACAATAAAGGGATTTATAGGAAGCCTATCGGGTTCACTCACAGAAAAAATAAAGCTGGAGAAACAGGCTCGGGCAGAAACCCAGGAGGCAGATATTGGTAAGAACTTTCACTAAAGCCGCCACCTTCCTGGGCACTACACAATACTGTGGGCCTCGGTGTTGGAAATGTGGTCACTAGATTCACTCACTCACTGCATTATCTCCAACTAAACTTGTGTCAACACTTTCCGAGCCAAAATCCAGGTAGGGGTATCTGCTTGTTTTTTCTCCCATCGAAGTAAGTACTAAGCAGGCTCGATCCTGCTTAGCTTATGAAATTGGGCAAGATCAGGCATGTTAAGCTTGGTATGCAAGTAAAGCAGCTGCCCTTTGAAAAGTTTCACCTTCTGGTTCTAACTACTAGAGGTGGGAAGGGCAAAACCTTCTTACCAATCTCTGCCGATTTTCATAAGGGGAACTGAAGTTTTTCTCTCTAATTCTGCATCCTTTCCAGATAGGAAGTTGGGCAGCTGAAAGACAAGTGTATTCTGTTCAACCTTGTTCATACAATACAACATTAATATGCCATACAAGCTTATTAAATTTCTTTCCATGTTTAATAAAATATATTACTGTCTGTTTGCTACTAACTAGCAAAGAATGAGATAGTTTAATGCATTGCTGAATACACTAATATCCAGCAAAAAGGAGAAGAACTAGGCATTACTTCTTTTCACAGATGAAAATCCAATTCTCAAGGAAATAGGTAATCTTCTGTAAATCTCTTAAATAATGTTAACTTAATCATATGCAGGCTTTATGAGCTCCCAAGCATGGTGAGGACGTCTGAGTTATTGTTCATTAAATTTTCCATATGGAAAAGACAGTAAAACTCAGCACCATCTCAGGACAGGAAATGTGTGCTTCCCACTCATTGTGGGCTTGATAAAACTTTTCCGGAGCTCAACCTAACAATCTGTGTGAGCCATAAAATTTACAGAGACCAGTATGAAATATCAAGCATATCCTTAGCCTGACCCCATTGGATATACTTAGGTTTCAGGCTAAGGATATAGCTGAAGGATTGGAGAAAATATAGGCCATAATGATACTGTAGTTGCTCCCATCCCCTCACCGTACCTTCCTTTCTCTAAGTGTAACAGAGAGCCAGTGGAAGAATTACCACATTTTGTTGTTATTTTACAGCACTGGCAATGAAACCCAAAGCAGTGCACATGCTAGGAAAGAGATCTACCTCTGAGCTATAGCCCTAGTCTGAAGATTTACTAGAGAACCTTGTCTGGAGTTGTCTTAAAAGAATGACAATCCTCTAAGGTCTCCAACTGAGGACTCTTCAAGCCTATTTTGGCCAAACCATATGGCTCTGGGCCCCCTTGGAAACCATTAAGCCTAGAATCAAAGAGGGGCCAGACTAAGAAAAGAGTTCTCAGGAATCCTACCAAGAAATTCACATTGCTACCAAATAGCCTATCTGCAGTGATGGTTACTTATTCTGAATCCTTAGTAATGACATGGGTCTCTTTTGTTGAAGCCTGCACTTGTGTGGATTTGAAGCTGAATTTCAATGTGGTCAAGTCTATCATTACTGAAAGATACCAAGAAAACCTGTAGAAGGGATCCTTCTGGAGGGATTTGATGCCTAAGGTGAGACTTGAAGGATGAGCAAAGGTTAGCTAAATGAAAATGTTCAAGGAAAAATGTTCACAGCAGGAAGACTGGAGTGGGCAAAGATTTGGAGCAGTAAACATGTGCAAAGGTTGAGTGCCACTGTGTTCATCTTTTAGTATGAGAGACTGGACCTCTTTGTCTGGACCTCTCTATGAGCTCCAGATAAGCTCACTGTGCACTCAGCAATGGGTATTTTAACTAAGTTGTGAGAGTGGAAATGGTTCACTTAGTGCAGAGCACCCCAGGGATATCAGCACAGTACCCTACTTACTATGGGTGGAAACCCAGTGACAAAAGCTACTTATTTGAAATGAGGTTAAGACAGTCTTCATGTTTTTTTTTTTTTTTTAAAGGAAAGCATTCTCTCTCTCCTGATTTTTGTCTTCTTCAGGAAATATAACTCAAAGAAGAGGTTACAAAGAAGTCACAAACTGTAGTGGCACAGCTTGGGGCTGAAGGCAGTCCAAATATATAATGCTCACCCCACTCTCTATTTTTCTTTCTAAAGTGAAGTGATATTTAAAAATAGGATTTTCACCTTCTTTTAAAAAGTCAGATGATCTAGCAGCCCTCATTCTCACATGGGGACAAGTGACTAGTGCTGAATGGCAATCACCCTTTAGAAGAATGTTAATTTGAAGTTTGCTACTGTCTCTATCAATCCCAATATTTTTTCCTACATTGAGAGCCAACTCATTGGAAATATTAATAGATCAACAGATGATGCTGCACCAGGATTCTGCATTGATTGCTATTACTATTTGGTCACTGTGACAGTCGTGAGTCCTTGGTTTAGAGGTTAAGTTTAGGGATCAGAATCAAACATGTCTGTGAATGAGAGAAATCGCCAAGACATTGAAGATTAAAGAAGATACTATTCTATGCTTTTCATAATGTATAGAAAACGTAAATTTCAAGCATCCTCTAAGAATGTAAAAATGGCAGGCAGAAATGGCGTTTGTTTCATTCTTTGTAGTATTCCTAAAGTCTAACACAGTGCCTGGCACATAGCAGGTGCTCATTAACTGTTGAACGGATGAATAAGGACAGAGCTCACAGGTGTGTTTACGCCTGATCTGAAAAGGAAAGTAATTCTAATAATATTGTTTCCCTTGGACCTCAAAGTACAGCTTAAGAAAAGCCCACAGGCATGTGTCAGGCTCTGTAATGGCCTGAGGGTAGTGTGCAGGCCATAGGATTTGCAGAGTCCCTTGAAAGTAGGCGGAGCTGACTGGACCACAATAGCACACAGTTATGTCCTCTAGCTCTCTCACCGTCTGGTAATTGATACTTGCTTTATTTCTCAACTTTCCACAAATCTCTGCCATCTGATTAGCAAAGCCAGAGACCCACACCTGGCGTTGTCACCTGGCCGGATAGCGTAGTTTTAGGAGCTTGGACCATGCCCATACCAGACATGGCCTCCTTCTGGCTTCACGCAGCAGGACCGCGCCGAGAGCCTCGAGTCATAGGGTCGGCTGCAAAAGCCCATTCTGCTCCCATAGTCAACATGGCGGCCATTGTGGCTTCAGAGCGGGACGGGCGGTGCCGGGAGGTGAGTCACGTGAGCGGTCCAGCTGGGAGGACCGCGCGCGCGCTCCCGCCCGCAGCTGCCGCTCGCTTGCTGGCTCCGCAGCGTTGTGAGGTGTGTGGGGCGTCGAGCCCCCGGGCCCGGCGAGTCGCGGCGGAATGCGGCGGCGGCCGTGGTGGGGCCGCGGGCCGGGCGGGCAGGCGCGGTGATGAGCGTCAGTGGCCGCCGCCATGTCCAAGGTAACGGCGCCCGGGCCCGGGCCGCCCGTGGCGGCGGCGGGCGGGAAGGAGAAGCGCTCCTTCAGCAAGCGGCTGTTCCGGAGCGGCCGCGCGGGTGGCGGCGGCGCGGGGGGCCCCGGGCCAGCAGCCCCTTCCTCGCCGTCCTCGGTGCGCTCGGTGGGCAGCTTCATGAGCCGCGTCCTCAAGACGCTGTCCACGCTCTCGCACCTTAGCTCAGAGGGTGCCGCCCCTGACCGCGGCGCCCTCCGCAGCTGCTTCCCGCCCGGGCCGGCCGCCGCGCCCACGCCGCCGCCGTGCCCGCCGCCGCCCGCCTCGCCCGCGCCACCCGCCTGCGCCGCCGAGCCGGTGCCCGGCGTGGCGGGGCTCCGCAACCACGGCAACACGTGCTTCATGAACGCCACGCTGCAGTGCCTCAGCAACACCGAGCTCTTCGCCGAGTACCTGGCGCTGGGCCAGTACCGGGCGGGGCGGCCCGAGCCCTCGCCCGACCCCGAGCAGTCCGCAGGCCGAGGCACGCAGGGCCAGGGCGAGGTCACCGAGCAGCTGGCGCAACTGGTGCGGGCCCTCTGGACCTTGGAGTACACTCCGCAGCACAGCCGCGACTTCAAGGTGAGACTCTGGAGCACCGGCCCGCGCGAGTCTTGCTGTCCTCCACTTAACGCAGCCGGGCCGACTTCAGCATTGGATGCTCCGAAATAACTGGGACAGATGCTCTGATTGTAAGGGAGTCTCATCCATCTACCCATTCATATGTCCCTTCATTCACTGAAGATGTACCGAGAGCCCTCTGGTTAAGCACTAGGTCCTATGCCAGGTACTGAGGCATTCGATACTCAAGAGTGGTCTAGAACAGATGCCCTAATTATAAGGGAGGCCCATCCATCCATTCACCCATCTCTCCACTCATCCACTTATTTATCCATTCATGTATTCATTTAGCATATTTTTTTTTTGGTCTTCTTCGTTTTTTTATTGGTACCAGGGATCGAACTCACAACTGCCTGCTTGCAAGGCAGGCGCTTATGCCACTGAGCTAAACCCCCAGCCCCTGTTTAGCGTATATTGAGAGCCCACTGCATAAGCACCAGGTCCTGTGCTAGGCATTGGAGCATTGGTTACTCAGACAGGTCTGAAACAAATTCCCAGATTATAAAGGAGGCCCATCTATCCATCCATCCGTCCATACATCTATGTATCTAATCGATTCATCCAACGTGTATCGAGAGCCCACTCCGTAAACACCAGATCCTGTGCTAGACTTTGGGGCATTGGATACTTAGGTCTGGGACAGATGCCCTGATTTTAAGGGAGGCTCACTCATTCATATTCATGCATTCTTTCAGCGTGTAATTCCTGAGCACCCATTAAGTACTAGTTAGGTATTGTGGAGTCTTATTTCTATGAGCAAAAGACCCTGCCTTTGTGGAGCGTGCATTCTAGGGAGTGGATAAGGCTTGGGAAACATCCTGGGTTTGCCACTTACTGAAGATGTGACTCTAGGCACGTTAACCTTTCTGTTCCACAGTTTGTTCATCCCATTCCTACCTTGTAGCAAACAAGTTGAAATGTTAAGTTGGACACCGTCCCATTTTTGGTTGACAGACTGGTCCTCTCCATAGGGTTCAGCCAATGTTAAGTGCGATTGAGTCTTGAATACCCCATGTGCATTTGCTATTGTTACTTTTGTTGTTAAATCCTTTAGTTAGTTGAGTTAACATCAGATAATAGTTGGAAGAAAGAACCTGGTAAAGTGATTGATGTGTTAGGAGGCCACTTTAAAATGAGGGAGATGGCCTTTGGGAGGGAGATGGCCCATCTTGTGTGCTGTCTTCTGGTGTGGCGGCAGGGAAGGTGAGGTTTGGTGCGTAGAATGATAGCCTGGGCCTAGTTGGTGTAGGGCCTTTTAGACTGTGCTAAGGAAGTGAACTCTAAACAAAAGGGAACGATGGTTGGAGAGTGTGTAAGGGATACACTTAGATGAGACGTGGCTAGTAGTATTAAATAGAGTGACAAAACATAGCAAGAAAGTCAGTTTCTTCTTTTTTTATCCTGATTCTTCCAGGAGCTTCTCAGTTTGATGTTAGCTTGTTTTTGACATATCTCTTGCTCTTTCCTCCGCCATCCTACCCCCCTTTTTTTTTTAAAGAAAAAACAAACTTTAGGTTTAAAGGCTTTGATAGGCAACAGTAGCTAAATTTAATAAGGTTATGCTTTTATTGTTTTTTTTTTTTAACCATTTGTCTTCTATTTATGGCACGTGGTACTGGCTTTTCATTGGTACTATCAAATTTCTTTCTAAAATACATTTAAGTAAATGTTTTGATACGGTATAAAATGGTGCTGTGCTCTTCTCCTCTTTGAATATTTTTGACTTGTGTTGCTCAGCCCTATTTTTCTCAAAAGGAGAAATAGTTACTAGTTGATCTTGAAAATTTGAGTGAAAATACTTGACTGAGATAAAGGCAAAACAAAGAAATATTTGAAAATAAGGAACGAGGAGAATGGCAAGGCAATCGGTTAGCTACTGTTGATATATCCCCCCCCCCCTGCTTCTTGCAAATAGTTATCTGTAAACCACAGCAATTGAAACTTTTCAAGGCCAGAGCCCAGGGTTAAGTTTGTTTTTTACTCTTATTGAATATGACAGTTTGTTTCTACAGCATCTCAGTGTGTAAAGTTTCATTGCCCTTTAGGCAATTGTTTTCCTTTTTTTATGCATTAAGCTGTGAGCAGAAATGGATTAATAGTTCTAGAAGTACAAGGACTGATCGATATACAAACTTTGGCAAAAGTGAATAGATTCTTAAAGGTAATTTTCATTGTTTGTATTCATTAAGCTGTGAACAAAAATGGGCCATTACTTCTGAAAGTACAGAGATATTAAAGGCGGACCCTACAGAGCTGAACAAATTCTTAGCCTCCCCCCTTTTAATAAGGGGTGGTTTTCTGAACTTTTTGTAGATTTCACTCTGCCTTCATTAATTTTCATTCATTCATTTATGCATTTAGGACAAGAAAAAGCAATCCCTGATGAGAGTGCTTTAAGTAATAGAAATATTGAAGTGCTCACACAGTGGTCTAGGGGTAAATAGTTTTAAGGGCGTGTAGTACTTGCCAGGCCCAAGAAGGGCCCGTTTCAGTGTTTACATTGTACATACTACTACTGGCATTTTGTTTGCATGTTTGTCACTTCGTGTTTGCCTAATTATGGCACCCTGCTTTTTTTACCCTTGAAGAAAGTGATTAGGGAGATAAGGGTTCTTCCAGAAGTCCCCTGAGCCAGGGAGACTGGCAGGTAGGGCTGTACGGGGGATGAGTGAAGAAGGACCTACCTCTGCAGCTGACCGATGGGTCTCACCTACCATATCCTTTTAGGGGAAGATACTGTACCTACTTATGAAGAGTGAGGTCTAGTAGGACTTGGCAAGTTCCCCAAAACAGTACTTCTTGCATTGTAATGTGTGTATAATTCATGCTCATAATTGATGTAAGGATCTCATTAAAAAGTATACTTGAATTTGGTAGAGCTGTAGTGGCACCTAAGAATGTGCATTTGTAACAAGCCCCTATATGAAACCTCTGCTAGTCTAGTGACCACACTTTGAATAGCACACTCCAAGAATCAAGTAAAAGTTACAAGGCAACTTTTCAGCAGTGTCCTGAAGTATTAATAGAAGTTTATGGGCAGGAATGGGTGGTGTGAAAGGGCAGGTACTTGGGGGAAGTAGATATTTAGTGACTGGTTGTACCATGGAAAGCTATGGAGGTAAAGAAAGCCTGGAAGAAGTGTATTGTAAAGGCACTGTGAAAGGCCTTGTGGGCGGGTTTGCATTTTATCCTCTGGAATTTGAGAATTCAGAGCTGATTATTAAGTAGGAAAGTAATGAGTTTTTTTTTTTTTCCCCTTCATCCAGTTAGGTTAAGACTGATGGCACTGTGGTGGATTGGTTACTCGACTCTTTTCTTTTCTTTCTTTTTCTTTCTGCAGATGTTTTTATTGCAGTCAAATGTGATGGATATTTTGAGTGTGAAAAAAGTTGAAGTGAATATGAAGCTTAGCTGTTATCATGCCCTAGTGCTTATTTGTGGCAGGTGTTACTTAATTTCAATATTCTTCACATTTAGTAGCTCACATTTGGCATTAGAATTCTGCTCTGTTCTGGGTTCCAGGCACCAACAACCCCCATTGGAATTGGCAATGTGATAAATTGTCAGAGGTAGAAAACCAGTTTGCCATTTTGAGGTAGTTTGCCTTGAGTTCTAGAAAACTATGTCTTTGTGGTTTTGTCATTTTAAAACTTGAAGATATTAATACTTCTGAGTAACTTTTCCAACTAGAATTCCTTCTTGCTTTCTAACCACTTTAAGTTGACTGTCATCCTCCAGGGCATTTGTGTTTGAAGACATACCTTGTCATAATGGGATGGAGGTGTTCCTGGCATCTAGTTGGTGGATTCTAGCGATGCTGCTAAATGGCATACAACATGTAGTACAGCACCCTTCTCCCTCCAGTAAGGGGTTATTCAGCACCAAAGACCTACTCCTACACTAATAGCATTCATCATCCATGAAGGCAGAGACCTTATGACTTATCACCTCTTAAAGATCTAAGATTAAGTAGCCAGGGTGAACTTTGGGGAGACACAAAGTACAGCCACATTTTCTGTACAATTATTGTGTGTAAAACACAAGTTTTGATGATGGATTGGGAATAGAGGATTAAGTGGAGATTGTGGGACAAGATTCTTGCCCCACAGAACTTACCTGTTTTTAATGAAGCTATTTTAAATTGTACTGACAGCAAGTTCAGTGGGAGTTGAGAGAAGGGTGAGATTGTAAGCAGAAGTGTAAGTACAAGATTCATTCATTTGTCGTTTCATTCATTGTCAGCAGGTAAGCTTCTACAAATTTGAATTTCTAATTTCACATAATCTTTAAAAAAAAAAAAAAGATTTCAAGAGAAGGTGTAGTTATACAATTCAGGCTGGCCTTGCACTTACTTTGTAGCTCAGGCTGGTCTCGAACTTGCAGTGGCCCTCCTGCCTCAGCCCCCTAAGTGCTAGGATTACAGGTGTGTGCCACGCCCCCAGTGCATGTACACTTAACACATAGTGTTAGTCATTGCTATGTAGTGGTAAACAAAATGCTATAGTAGTGGTTAAAAAAAAAAAAGTCAAAGTCCTCATGGTCCATTCCTTGATGGACTTTGTATTCTCACAGAAGAGACAGATACTAAGCAGGTAAATGTTGACAAACATGTAATTAAAAATTATAAGAAGGAAAAAATAAAATAGAAGAGAGAGACTAATGGGTGTTACCATACTAATAGGGAATAAGATGAATATAAAAAGCTTCACAGTTAGAGCTGGGCATTTAAAAGACTGAAGGCTTTGTTTGCGTCTTAGAGAACCAGGAGGAGAGTGGGATAGATGTGGCTGGAAGGGGAAGGGGTCAGGAAGGCAGAGACCAAATTGTATGGGGCGTGGGCCAAGGGAAAGGGTTTAGATTTTGTTCTAGGAACAATGAGATGGCCGTTGCTGGTTTTAAACAAAGTTCTGGCTGGATCTCACTAAAGCATGAAATGGGTCATTCTGGGTGCTGAATGTGAA